AGAGGGTTAGCTGCAGCCAATCACAGAGTAGAGGACTAGCTGCAGCCAATCACAGAGCAGAGAGGGTTAGCTGCAGCCAGTCACAGAGCAGAGAGGGTTAGCTGCAGCCAATCACAGAGCAGAGAGGGTTAGCTGCAGCCAGTCACAGAGCACAGGGGGTTACACACTGAACCTGTTGGTCCAGATGGATCTGAAGAGGTCCAGGGATTCTCGCAGCCGATTGGTGGAGTTGTCCTCTCTGATCACCATGTTGTAGCTGCTACTGGCAGCGACGAAGATGATGGCGGTCACATCTGCAGACAGACAGACAGACAGACCGACCGACCAATCAGCTCTGCTGCTTTCTTTCATTTCTCTTTCGATCAGTGTTTTTCTCACCGTTGAAGCACTGAATCCACTTCCTGCGTTCGTCCCTCTGTCCTCCTACATCGAACATACTGACACACAGACAGGATGCTGAAGCTACAGTCACACAGATTCTCGATGGAGTTCTGAATGGTCTTTTCCTCGGATCTGACCCTGACAACAGGAAGTGGTTAAAAATGTGTCAAACACTCACTGGAAGTTGACTTTGTCCACCTGAAACCGGGTTTCAAAAATGCCTGAAGTCAAAACTCTGCAGCGCAACAAGTCCTGCAGGAGAACAAGAGAAACAAGACGAAGAGATTAAATCACTTTACGTCAACCCAGTCCAAGCAGTCCGCCCGACCTCCTCAAACCTGCTGGTTTTTAAAATCTACAACTACTTTAGTGTATTAAATGAAGCCATGCAAAGTTTTAAGTATTTCTCCTCAGAGTGGATCCTGTCTACAGATGGTTCTGGTAGGTTCTGGAGGTAAAACGGTCCTTCCATCTTCTAGAACTGGTTCTGACCAGCCACCACCACACATGCTGACATGAGCCTGGAAAGTTTACCCAGAATGCACTTTGTAAAGTTTCCTCTGGTGACTGATCAGAACCAGAACCACATCCAGGGTACCAGTGATTGTTTCTATGACTCTGTGTCATAGACATTAGACTGGTACCACTATGAGACATCCCATAATACTGATGCTACCAGCTGCTGACAGAGGACATGAACAGAACCAGGTCCAGTGTTCAGACGGAGACACCTGGATGGATGTAGAACTGGTCTGGGGCCAGGTTCTACCAGAACTCAGATGTTGTCATGCGTCTATCTGCTGTACTGATGAAGTTCTGAGGCTCAGAAATGATGGAAAAAGTCCATTAAAGTGATCAATCTGGACCCTCCTCTGTGGACTTCAAGGACCTGGACCTCTGGAACATTCACAGTCTGAAGGTAGAACTCTGGTCAGCAGATAAAGGTTCTGCAGGTACAGAACCAGATGTTCTGTGGAGGTCTGGAAGCTCTTATTGGTGTTTAATGGAGCGACCATGAGTCATCCTAAATTCTGGAGCCTGATTGGTTGTTTTGTTACCTGGTCAGTAGGTGTGTAGTCAGTCCTCCTCACTGAGTCCAACCTGTCCAGGAAGCTGCAAGACACAAGAAGGAAACATCTGGATCTGGTTTCAGCAGCTGTTCATTCAGTCCACCAAAGTTAACTATCTGCTGGTTGAAGAAGCATTCTGATTGGTCGCTGGAAATTTAAATGTCACTGTGTTTGTAAGGACCAGGTGCAGGTCCAGGTTTAGGTTGATGTCTGGGTTTAGGGCCAGATCAGAACCAGACTTAGATTCAGATTTAGGTTCAGGTTGAGGTTTAGACACAGGTTTAGGTTCAAGCTTAAGTTTGTTCTCAGGGTCAGGATCAGCTCAGAACCAGGTTCAGGCTTAAGTTTAGGTTCAGGTTCAGGCTTAATCTTAATTTTCAACTGAGAACCAGATTTATGTTCAAATTTAGGTTCAGGTTTGGGTTAACATTTAGGTTTGGGTTCAGGTTTGAGATTAGGTTGAACTTGAGCTTGATGTTTAGATTCAGGTTCTGGTTTAAGTTTAACATTAGGTGTAGGTTTAGGTCCAGGCCTAAGTTCATGTTTACGTTGAGCTTGAGGTTTAGGTTAACCCTTTATAGGGCGCTCATTGAAATACTTGGAAACTAAAATGTTCAACCCTGGAGTGTTATTGGTTTATGTAAGAGGGCAGTTTTTCTTTTTTGACTTTTTAAGAAAGTTTTCGATTTAGACTGCAAATCAAAGTCAAAGCAGTTACCATACCACATATAACCACCTCGGGTGTAAAAGAAGTCCAGACAATATGTGTAGAAATTATTGGAAAATTACACATATAAAGATAAAGGAACATTTACTTCCAAATCACCAGGCAGACTTACAGAACTTATCACACTTAGGTCAAAATATCCTTCTGGCTCACTGTGATTGGTCACATGCCATAGTGTGATGTAGCCTGACCTTCACTGATTGGCTGTATTAAGTCACCTGATTCTGCTTCCTGTCATTTTTGAAGCCCGCGGAAGTCATACATGGTTCATGGCCCAATAAAGGGTTAAAGTGAGAACCAGGTTTAGGTTCACAATTAAGTTTAGGTTTAAGTTCAGGTTCAGATTTAAGTTTAGGTCCAGATCTAAGTTTAGGTCCAGATCTAAGTTTAGGTCCAGATCTAAGTTTGGGTGCAGATCTAAGTTTAGGTTCAGGTTCATGCTTAAGTTTAGGTTCAGATCTAGGTTTAGGT